TAACTTTGAGTAGTTTCTTTTTTCTTTCCATCTTTTCCTAATTTCATTCCCTCTTGCTTGCCATGTTTTAATTTTGAAGCGTAAATGCAAAAAAAGCGCTAATCCCAGCAAAAATGCATTCTATAATCTAATCCAAAAATTAAAATCTAAAAGAAAGACATTCCATGATTACTTCTTTTCTTAATTTTGTCTTTATATTATTAATTTCAACAGGTTTATCCCGCATAAGTTGTAGCATTGTGCGGAAAAACATAATGAGAGCGGTTTGCAAACTTTTCCGTCTACTATGCAAGTAGTTATCATAGTTGGTGTTACTTTGGCGAATTACATTTTAATTTGTCGTCTTAAATTGTTGACATCAATTTTGAAAATTAGTTTGATATGTCAACAATACCAATTAGAACTATACATTACAACTACATAATTTATAACTATACATATTTTTTTAACGACAACCACAAGCAACCCCAGGGCTTTTGCGTACGCCTGGGTTAAAAAATGGAGAACGGTGCTTCTATTTCAAACCAAGAAATCACAAAATGTTAAAGTTTTGTGTACGCAGCGATTAACTCTTTCTAATACGGCACATTGTATTTCTGCGCTACTATTAATTTTCTGGATTGAAAAACGGTTCATTAATCAAAACTGACATACGAATCAAATTTTTAGTTTTAAAAACAAAAAAAAAGAAAGGTCAATCAACATAATTTTCGAGAAAAGTTATCAAGGGCTCACCTTTTTTAATCAAATTTTCTTTAATTAAAATAACTAAAAGATTAGTAAAGTGATCCTGGCCCATGGTCGAACGGAGTGAGTCCAGCTACAACTAAAGCCTTTTGGAAAATTTGCAACCAAAAACTCCTAAACCGTTTAAGATCTTCTAGCATCTGTCCAATCAAAAGTAGCTCGTCATTGATGGTAATAGCTTAAGGTTATAGAAGACGTCTAATGTTGTTAACAACAATAAGAGTTTTGTACCAAATCCTAATTAGTAATACAAATTCAAATCTAATTCTTTTAAGGATCTTGTTTAACTAAGCTGCTCACTGGCCAGTTCCAGGTTTTTCATGGGATGTTTAAAGCTTCTCTCAGCCTCTCGGCAAAGAGGCCGAGAGAATATTTGCAATATTAGAAAACAAAAGTTTAATGAAAAACAGTCAATTAAAGAATTACAAAAAATAAATAATAGTAGTGCTCAAGAGTTAACGCAACAAACTGGGAAAAGGTGTACAGAGTATTTATCAATTATTGGTCAAGATCAAAGTCACTTCTTCTCTGATGGAAAACAACATCAAAACTTGGTATTAAATAATCCAATTGGATCTGAACATATTGCATCATCAGATATTGCCAAAAAGGAAAGATCACCTTATGGTACCATAAGACTCAGCCAGGTTACCGCTGATAAACAATTTACAGTAACTCCAGGTAATAAAATTTTTTTGAAAAATCCCTAGTAATTTTTTGAAAGAATTTTAGAAGGTCTAAAAGGTTTGCCCTAAGAAGACCTAACAATCTCGTCACAGAGGAAAGCGAAAGAGCATTTAAATAATAAGTCTTCTTCCTTACCAATGGCACGAAATAAGCTCAGAGTTTGCTTCTAACCCTGGATCATTTACTTCTAAAGCAAGCGCTCTAATCACTGCCCAACGACCGCTCAAAGTTTATAAGATTATTTTTATGTTAAATTTAAAAAATTATAAATTAAAAAAATATCAGCTTTTAAATTAAACTCTCAGATTTTATTTGAAAAGTAAAAAAGCTTTCTTTGGCAGTTACTCTTAAAACCCAAGACATGGTCAATGCTCAGCCTAATACCGGCCTTTCTAAGACCAAAATGACAAAGTTGGGATTTACTGAGAGACATAATTAGTGCAAAAATTAGTGGTGAAAGGATAAAAACTCTGGGAACTCTTTTTTTTTAATGTTATTTATGTTATTTAGGTGCCCCACAAGGACCTAACGGTCATGTCACAGAGCACCGCGGAAGTGCATTTAATCAGGAAGTTCATGCCTCCTTCCTTACCGTGACGCGAAAATATGTCCAAGGCTCGTTTCGAACCTGGATCTCCTGCTTATAAAGCAAGCGTTTTAACCACTGCGCCACAGCCGCTCAAAATCTTGATCTATTGCTGAATTTAAGCAACACAAATAATGTTAGGTTCGAAATTTTATACAGTTTTAAAATTGTTGACTTTTTGTGTGGAATTCAATCACATTCAAGCAAACATCATTCACTGAAATAAAAACCATCTTAGCAAAAGAACAATCGGAAGTCTTAAGACAAAATACAAAAGGTTTATGAATACAAAATACAAAGGTTTAACTCTTCACACTCTAAAACGTTTTTTAAAAAATACGAGACAGCTGCAGAAAACACAGATATTGTTCATTGGAAGAATTTAAAAAAACTAACCAATTTTGTTTAACTTGAAAGAAAATAGTTAACATAGGAAACTGATGAAACATTTGATGACACAACCTGATGAAACATTTAGCCCTCCACAGAAAATTCAAAAATTAATCACGAATTCAGTAACTTGAGATACTTGAGTCAAGCGTCTGTTAATAATTGTAACTTTATAAAATCTTTAAGAGATAAAAGATTTACATATTAAGTAATCATTTTCTTAATATTTCAGCTTATTTTATCAATCCAATCTTGAACTACCTTGTTTCAAAACCTAAAAAAATTAAGTAAAATCATAAACACAAAAAATCGACGTTTTGTCTGATATCAAGTAATAAACATCTTTATGATAAGTTAAAAAGTTACCAGCAACATAAGATTTCCTTTTTTTATTCTCGTTCCCTTTATCCATATAGGTTTTTCTAATTGCTCTCAATTTTTTTAATTTTTTTTTTTGTTAAAGATTAAACTTGATTGCGTTCTTGCAACACGTTGACGATCAAGTTTCGTTTCTTAGCCTTAGTTTCTTATCTAACTACCATTCTTTTTTCGTTACCTAAACATTTTTTAAGTTTTTAAAGCTTTACCATAATTAGAATTGTTTTTTTAGTTGTTTTTTTAGCCAATTTTTGCAAGCCTGATTTGGGATTCTCAATACAAACCAATGTGAGACCAAATTGAGTTACCAAAATTTTTATTGAGGTTTCCTTCTGCAACTTCTTTAAAAACTGGTGAACCTCTATCTCCTTGTAAATTAGATTGTTCTTCTTCCACCTTTTAATGATTTTATTACATACATGTTGGCATTATATACTGCATACATGTTCTGCTTCATATTTTTCATAACGTAGCAACTATTTTTGTTTTTTCTTAATATATATTGAAAAAACTTGTATATCAACCACTTTATCATTAACAATATTAGTAACAACTCCATTGAGAGATCAATGTTATCTTTACTACCAAACTCCATCTAATTTTATGTATTGTTGGGTTCAACCGTAATATTCGGCAGGTTTTTTACATGCTTTTTTTTTTTGTGTCATTATATACATTAAATATTTCATTGGTATTTAATTTTTCATAATCATGTTTCGCTAAACTATACATGTTTATGCATTGAAAAATATTTAAACTTGCATGACCACGACCAATCTCTCGAAAAGCAATTGCCCCTTTTACGTTTGCTTCAAATATTTTTTACGTTCGCTACAAATATATTTCTTCCAGTAATTTTATTATTATTCTTTACACATTTTTAGATGTGTACACAGAATATCTCCATTGATCACAAGATGTACATTTGATCTCAAGATTATGAAAAAATTTTATTATTTTTTTTGTTTTTTATCAAACAACTCATCGGTTAGCAAATGGCTAATCAGTTAGCAAATGTTAGACAAGGTAACTCCCAAATACTTTTTAAAACATACTGAATAAAATAATCATAAAGTTCACAACTAAATGGTTCTGAATATTTTTTTTTTTACTGGAACACATTTCCTGTTGTCATTTTTAAATACTTAGGTCTAAAAGAGTAAAAAAAAAAAAAAATACAAATATATCAATGCACCACAATAAATATTTAAAAAAAACTTATAAAAAATTTTATGTTGCATCACATTGCTCAAAATGTAAAATATTAATTCAATCAATGACATTTAGCTAACTTGAAAGCCAAATAGTTTTAGAAACAACACAAAACAACAAATATATTTATAGTTTTGTGGTGTTTCTAAAGCTTTATTGTTTTATAAGGCTTTATTATTCAAAAAGAACATGTTTTTTCTATTCAAAAAACAAACAAACTCGAGTTTGTTTTTTCAGTAGAGGAAACCTGTTTTTCTTGTTTCTCTCCAATATAATGCATCGCTCTATTTGTCAGTTCTTTGCATTTTCATTGATGTATAAGTGTCTCATTAAGCGTCATGATGTCCCATTCTGTCTCAATCTTGCTTTGCTCTCACCATTGACTAAGGTTTTACTTGATTTGCTCTCACCATTGACTAAGGTTCTATTTGATTTGCTCTCACCATTGACTAAGGTTCTACTTGCTTTGCTCTCACCATTGACTAAGGTTCTACTTGAAGCTTAAGCAGGAATGCAGGAGGGAGAGGGGGGAAATATCATAACCTTATTGTCTTTGTTAACATTATCAGCAATAGGTTTTTTTTTTCCCAGTACATGTAGGTGATGCACAACCAACATCAATCGATGTTGTGCCTCTCTTCTTTAACCTCTATAAAGAGTCTTCTCAACACGTTAAAAAAATTGTTTAAACTAAACAAACAAAACTTGAACTCGAGTTTGATTACAAGTTGGTTTACAATCTGGTGAACTTCAATCAGGTAAAAAAAATGATTTATTAAACTAAAAAAACATGGTAAATATTGGACAATTTATTTTCATAAAGAAGTTTTTTTATGAATTAGTGATAGTAACTAAAATAAATAGTTTTGATATTTAATCTATTTATTTAGCTTGAATTATGTTTTTGATATTTAATCTATTTTTTTAGCTTAAATTAGTTTTGATAATCAGAATAATTAGTGCTAACACTTGGTGTAATATTGAAGTAAAAATTAGAAACTAATAATAGCTAAATATATTTTTACTGACGTAATTAATAATTATACTAAGGATTTTCTCATATATATGCGTTGATCTACATAATTTCTTTTTGTTTATACTGATGCATATATTTTCATATATTAGAAGCAACGCGTCGACCGAATTTGTTTACTTTGTTTCTCAATCTTTTTCTGGAATAAATAATTACTCTAATATTATATTTGACAAAATGTAATAGCATTCCTTTATCTCATTTCTTCACTCCTTTTTTCACTCTTTATTTTTTCGTTTTTTCTTTTGGTTTTTTGTTTGGTCTCTACAGTAGAAATAATTCACATTTGAGATGCATCTTTCGCACTTCACGCTACAACACCAGTGAAATTTACAATTACAATTCGATTCGACGTAACCTTAAAGAAAAATTAAAATTAAAACTAGACTATTTTTTTAAATAATATTGCTAATTTTAAAATTAAAATCGAACAACAGTACTTACAGTTATCTAAAAAAGAATTTATATTTTATTTGCAACATTTTTTGTTTGCAAACCTTTTCTCTCTTGTATAAGAGAGAAAACCTTCTCTCTCTTGTATAATATTTTATAAAAGGTAAATTATAGAACTTTCTTCAAATTCTGAAAATAACTTGGTTTATAAAAGATAAACAACAGAACTTTCTTTGAAGTTTGAGAATAACTTGGTTTAATAATAAAAGGGTTGGGGTCGTTACATTTTATACTTAAATTAAAAGTAAAAGTACTGGTTCTAAAAGTAACAAAGTAAGAAGTATTACTAAAACAAAATACTTAAGGAAAAGTAAAAATTTACTGTATGCTAAAAGTACTTTTTGGTAAAAAAGTGAATACATTCTATATATATGCTATCTTAAGTTAAGTTAAGTTAATGTCAAGTTATTAAATCATGTTAGAATAAACCTATTCAATCCATCAATGTAAGTATGTTTATTGCTGCAGGCTTTAAGGTTTACAGGTTTACAACAATTTTACACTGATGATTAAAAGTAGTTGCAGTTCAAAATGTTCGTATGAGATTTTAGTGTCAAAAATATTTGCCCTGCCTCACTAAATAAATTTTCACAAATTGCAATTAGTGGAAAAGCAGTACTCAGTTCAAAAAAGATATTTTTCAACATTGATAAGCCATGAAGGTCACCAAGTAATGAGTTAGTGCTACTAATATATGTTAAAATGATGTTATCAGCTGCAGTAATAGTGTTATGTGGCAATATAAATTGAAAGAAATCATCTTCAGTTTTAGACATTGCTGCTTCATTTGCTAAATTCACTATTGCTCTGTCACTGCTTTTAGCCAGCTGTTTTTACTATTGAATCTTATTTTCCAGGAATTCCAGACTTTTACCCCCGTAGTCTTTGATCTAAGTGTTCAAAATTTAAGGTTTACAATTTTTGCTAGAATTAATTCTGTTTCATAATGTAATGATTGAATATGCTCTCTATGGGAACATCCGCATTTATCACAATTGACGTGCAGCACTGGGTTGATATTTTGCAAAAAAGTACCTGCATTTTCTTTTTCAAAGTCAGTATATTTGCAAGAAGGTATGCCATGGAGACCATTGTTTCACACTACAGGATATCTAAGGTTTGAGTGAGAGACCTACTGTCCAATAAATGCCATATCAGTTATTTGAAACTTTAGCAAACTAAGCTTGTCACAAACACTATTTATCGCATCCATTCCAATCAATTATCAGCCCGTTCATGCATCCTACAGACAAATACATTCAATTCCAAATCCTATAATTAGAAACAATAAACTGCAGTCAAAATGATTCACTAATAATTTTTATAGATAGTCTTTGCGACTGCTTGTTTCATAACGCCAAACATTTCCCAGACATTGACTGACAAATCTTTGAGGTAATCGTAAAGAGTTGCAACATCATAAGTTGTAGTTAAATTAATTATAAGTAAGCCTGAAAAATAAAGTAAAAGTACTGCATTGTAAATATAACTATTTACAAGAAGAAGTACTGCAAAAACTAACAATATTTTGTAACATAATAAATGTACTTTATTACATCCCAATCCTGAATAAAAATACTGTTAAGGCTACTTTTACATTGATTAAAGGTAAAAAGCGGGGGTGAAACTTTTTTTAACTTTGATTATTCGTTCTTCGATTACAAAAACTGCGCTCAAATGTAAAAGGTTTTAATTAACGTTAACGGCAGTTATTGTTTAAAGTAAAAAAATTAAAGATAAAATAATCATTTAACTATTTAGTTTCACAATAATTTTAAAACTGCTTAAATAACAGTAAAATTCTGATCAGTTATTTATAGACACAAGATAATCAGTATCGAGTCACGGTTTATCGTCTGGTATAGACGCGATACTTTACAGTATCGATATTGAAATCACGAGATATTGATATTAAAAGTTTCAGTTACGTTAGTATCATTTGGTATCACAGCTCGGATCTTTACGAGAATTTGTATTTTATTTTTATAAACGATATGAAATAGTTGAAGTTGGGAAAAGTGGGATAATAAAAAATAATTCTAGAATAAATTTAATAACTTTTTTATATAATATAAGTAATGCACCAAATGAGGCATCAATTCGGACACTGATTCTATCCCCTAAGATTGACAGCAGGTGATAATAAAGTATATATGTTTTTGATTTTTAGAGGAAATGTGCCATTAGGGTAAAATAGGACAGCCATGGGGTGAAGTGGGACAAGCAAGTAATTGACATAATATTAACAAATATTATTAATGAAAATCAATTAAAGTCGTAAATCACGCAATTTTCATCAGAGATTTCCATAATTTAATTACAAAATAATGATATGGGGGATATAGTTGATCAATAAAATTTTCTTTGTTCCACTTCACCCCTCAAAAAATTGTTTTTGGGGTTATTTTTTAAAATGTGGTTTTTACCACACACAGGAAGACAAAGCGTTTTTGGATAAACGGAAAAGAAAAAAATCAGATTGTTTACAATAGATAACATGATTAAAGCTCTCTCTTTTATGGAATTTTAGACATGTCCTATTTATCTCGCAACTCATTTTCCCACTTTTCTCCACGCTCCCTTATATAATTAACTCATATAGTATAATAGAAAGTCTCAAGAACTGTTTGTTATTGTATGATATTATATTTATCATTTAATTTTTCAAATAGTATCACAGTTTTAATTTAATTAGTTGAGTGGTATCGCTTCCATATTTTAATTTTTTATCTGATACTTTTTAAGATTTTTTTAAGTTTCACTACCAACATGGCTGCAAGTAGCCACAATTAGGTTGCAAGTTACTATACAAACAAAAATATTATTAAAGAGCAAAGAAACTGTTGACAGAAGACTTTAAAAGGTGTAAGTTATATGAGTCAAGAAAACAAGAAAATGGAAGAGTGTTTCAAAGGGTTGAAGTGCAATTAATAAAACTAAAGGAATAAAACTTTTAAAAGTATGCAGGATCAGATACAGTAAAAAGATGAGACTTTGCTGAATGACGAATCCAGAGAGAATCAGTTTTGGTAGATGGACTTAGAGATAATAGCTCCTTTGAACGGCGACCATGGTACAATTTGTAAAAAAGAGAAAGAGATGCAACTTTACGACAGTGAGAGAGAGGCTCAAGCTTGGCAGATAGAGCAACGACGACGTTTCAACGACGTTTATAATAGGTTTTGTACCTTGTCTAAAAAAAAAACATCGTTAGAAAAACCAGCTTAAATATGACAACAGTATTCCACACAGTGGCAAATAATAGATTTGCAGAGGTAGAGAATGAAATCAGGAGTAAGATAATGGCAAGTACAAGAAAAAGAAGCTTTGGTAGATGTTAACTTAGGAATTGATTATATAAATGGTTTCCATGAGAGGTCAGTAGTGAAAAATAATCCAAGAAGACGTAAAGAGGAGAACTCAGTGAAATAATAGCCATTTATCAATATAGGAATGTTGAGAGTATTGCAATAGTTGTATGCAGTAAACAACTGAGTTTTGTTGGATTTAAAGTTTACAAGCCACTACCTATTAAAGTTGCCCCAATCTGTTAAAGAAGTAAGGTTAGATTCAGGATTGACTGTCTGTTCTAAGAAATTAAAAAGAAAAGACTATTTGTCAAGAGTGGAGAATGTTATGCAGATTGGACTGGGCCGCTGAAATACCGGGAGATTCCCAGTGGGCGGGTTGCCATAAAAAAGTTATGTTATTTTTAGTTAGGCTACATTTTATTTTCCGTTGATTATTATAATCAACCGTAAATTAAAATGTAACTAAAAATATAATAACCTTGACTTATAATAGGCTTTTTAATAGGATATAATAGGCTAAAAAAAAAATATTAACACAAAATTTTATTTTGTGCTAATATATAGATATGCTATAGCACAACCACCGGCTAATTATTTTAATTTTGGCGATGATCTTGATCGGATCGAAAGTAGTGTTATATTAATGTAAATAAACCAAATTAGTTAATAAATTTTAAACTTTTTTTTAAAGACGTAGCTTTTAAACTTGTTGTTGTTTGTGTTTTATTTACTGACAGAAAGTCAGTAAATAATACACGTTTAGTGTTATTGATATTTTGTTGTTATAAATTATGTTACTAGTTATGTTTGTTTTACTATGTATTTTATTGATTGTACATTGAAATTTTGTCGACAACCATAAAGTATATAAACTTAATGGCGGATTTAGGCATAAGCTAACAGGCTGCAGCCTATAGGTGACACAAGGCCTTGGGGCGCTACAAGAAAAAAATAATGAAAAAGAAAAAAATTTGTTCATCTAATAATTTTGAAAGTTTTTAGAATTCAAAATTTGAATACTATTTATCATTATTCGGTAATTAATAAACGCTTATCAATACTTCATAATTTAGCTTAAATAACCTTATTATTGTTAATATAACTTAAATCAACGTTTTAATTGAATGTTTTCATTTCAAGACGTTTTTTTAGAATAATTATACACGTTTTATTTTAATAAGAAACTAGTTTACAAGAAACTAGTACCAGAAGCACCAAAATAAGTACCTTATTTAAGAGTTTGAGGAATATTTCCTAATTTTTCTCCTACATTCTAGATCAACATTAAGTTAGCTTTATTTACAACAGAAATAATTACTGATCTCCTTATAACAATAATACTGCATCAGCGATGCCGCTGATGCAGTATTATTGTTATCACCAAATGAGGCAGAGGCACATGGTTCTAAAATTGAAACGGCAAACAGTTTCGATGACATTGCTGTCAATGCAATTTCTTACCCTAACTCTGACCTTCAATATAAAATGAACAGTAACCAATACGAGCCAAGTGAAGAAACTCAAAACAACTATAATTATTTTTTAAAACATTTTTTCAATTTTATCCGAAGCAAAACACATTTGATCCTAACAT